TTTTTTTAGGAACTTTAAGGCTAGATTCTTAAGAAGAGACGCCCCTAAGGCCTAAGAGAGCAGAAACATCCCCAGCTGAAGCTTAATCTGAGTCCCAATCTCTCAGCACATCAGAGCCTGAGTGTTTTTGAGGACAACGCCCGGTGGAGGGAAGAAACTCCGTCTTGGCATGTTGCTAGGCGATGCATTAATATTAATGCTGTCTTTTTCCAGAACGTGTGCTCGTCTCTGGTCCCCCTTGGGAGAAACTGAGGCTTAAAGATATCTCCATCTCAGTGATACTTCTTTTATCCTGCTTAAAACTCATATCAAAGGTTTTAATTACATTCAGCTAATGTAATGCTGCAGAGCTTTGTTGAGAGTCACAGTTGCCCTCTGAGTTTCCCGTTAGCTCCGTTGATAAGCCTAACTCTGTCTAATAGAAAAATGTGGTCTATTTTCTGCTGTTGTTTGAACCTGTGTGCTGTTTATTTTTATTTATTTTTTTACCTAATCTGCTCAGCGTTATATCTGATTCAGAGGTGTGCTTTCATGTTTTTTTTTCTACATCTCTGAAAATGATTTTACCCAGGAGAAGTAAATCTGTGCTTGTGTCTGCCCTCTGCCTCACCTCCTTTCCTCTGCCGGGCTTTTGGCCTGGAGTCTTCGTCGCAGACCTCGCTGCTCCTCCCTGCTGCCCTCTTCACAAAACCATTTTCCAGGAGCTGAAACACAGATGTTATCCTTCTGATTAAACGTTCAAGGTTACGTCTCCCAATACATCAAAGTCCCACCTCTGCTGAAAGAGGCAGCGTGACAGCCAGTAGTTTAGGTAGCCTGGAGGTGTAAGCTCCAGCGTCCTCACATTCATTTTGGTTGTTTTTTTTTTTCCTTAACTGACATACCATATGTGCTTTGAATTAAACGTTTCCCTGATGCATTAGTTTTGTAAACATTGCTGGTCTTCCTTCTTTCTTGTAGCGATCTACAAATAAGACATTTCTTTTTTTTTCAGAGTCCTCTCTGGCAATGTGGCAATAAGAATAATTGTCTTAAAGCCAAAAGCAGCCCAACAGATTTTGCTTTCACAAGTGGAGCAGAACGGCTATCGCCATAGCGTTCCTCTTGATTTATGAATATGAATAGCTTTAATATAAATCAGGGCTCCATGTCAACCATCGCCCGATCTGCCGGGGAAAGTAGTTTTTATTGTCGGAAGAGTACAAATTTCATTGCATTTGCCCACCGGGCAAAAAAATTTTATCACTCAAAATTACTTTAAAATCACCGACATTCGATGAAAACGACCCAGAAGCGTTGCCGGCGCCATTTTGGTTGTTTTGTACACATTCTCTACGTGTTAAATGAGGAAGTTATGTCCCCTATAAAGCTGTTGCGCCTCGGGGCTTCCTCACGGTTCTTTTCCTGGGAGCAAGTTACTTACTACATTTAACTCAAACTGGGTAAAACCACGAAAAAAGGACTATAAAACAGGAGTAAAAAGTAACAGAGTTTATTCCAGATCAGGTCGTTACAGGACAGAGAAAATGCTTGGAGTTTGCACAGCTGTGGGCTCAAAAATCACGTCCGCGAGCGTCCGGCAAAGATTGAGCCCCGAACAAGGTAATCTCCTGCTTCTTATACCTTATGTGTCTATGTGTTGCATCAGGGGGATGCTTAGCTGTCCGTATCAGAAACTGACACACCTTCCATGCCCAAGGATTACACATAGCTCTCCTCTATCAGTCCGGCTCCAAGATGTTCCCATATCCTGTGTATTTTTAAAGACACGAAGGCTGTCCTGATTAGATGACCTTCGTACACACAGTGACATCCACAATGTGAAGGAAGGCCTTCTACTCTCTCTAATCTGGCTAATAAAGTAACAGTGCAAATGATGTATAAAGCATAAACCTAACACGCGTGATTTGAAAAAGCCGGGTGATTTTCCGCCAGATGGCGTGATTTTCGTCCACCTTGCGGTAATTTTAATGTAGTTACCAAAACAACAAACAAGCTAGAAAGCGCTATCATATGACAGCCTTCTGTACAGTGATGCAGGTCATACATTAAAAAAATTTCATTAAATTTTTTTTCTCTTAGACATTGGAGAGGTGCATTTAAATGAACTAAACATGTTAAATTGGTGACATGTTATGTTATTATTATTGTCTTGTTGCTGCATTTATTTTGCAAGGAAAACTAATCCATACTCAGTTAAAAGTCAGGGAATTCTGAAATTATGTAATACTGTGGAAACCCTGTATAAAATAACTATGTGTAATGATTCTCTAGAAAAGTCACATTATATTAATAGTATTATCTTGAATAAACATACCGTGACTCTAAAATAAAAGTTATTTATTTGTGACATTGACATTTTTAACCTGTCAAGTTTTTTTTTTAGATTTTTAGCATTACAATTTATATTTTTCCAAGCACACAACAGTTTAAAGCAAAGTTTAGTTTGAAAAGAATGTGCAGGAAGGATTGAAAAGCATGTTAACGCGGTAATGTAGGTTTGAGTTCATTATCTGATGCATGCATATACACACCAGGAACCTGGAAACTTAAAAAATACTGAATTACAAAAAAACATTTAAAAAAACAAACATGTTTCATTGATATATATACAAAAATGAATATTAGGAACTATATTTATCAACCATTTTACTGGTGTGAAAGTCACTTGCGCTTTGGGCAAGTGGTAAAAATCCTTAACGTCAACCCCTGTAAATCATGCAGGGAGTATTACAGATTATATGGACACTGCAATGTAAGTAGAGCAGGAAAGGAAAAACAGGAAAAAAAGATTAAAGAAAGAGGAGATAAAAGGGAGACAACATTTCTTAAATTAAGTTTATTTAGCCTAAATTCAAGAAGATAAATAAGATGATTTGCCAATGGAAATACTATTTTTTATTTATTTTTTACGGCACTAGTGGCTCCTTTTATGTACAGTAGGCTGACAGGAAAGGGGGTATGAGAGCGGGGGAGAGACATGTGGCAAAGCACCAGAGGTCAGATTCGAACCCGGGTCGCCCGCGTCGAGGACTAAAGTAATAAGCATTTAAACATGTATGAATCGAATAACTGATACCTGATAAGCAGGATATAGTAAAGCTGTTTATGTTAACGGTTACATAAGGATTTTTACATCTCATGTTACATTTAGTGAAATCTAATGTGTTTTATAAGGGTTCTTAAGTGACAGATTAACACTAAGTATGAAATTAATGGGACATTTAGGCAGTGTTGGGCACGTTACTTTGAAAAAGTAATTAGTTATAGTTACTAGTTGCTTCTCCCAAAAAGTAACTGAGTTACTAACTGAGTTACTCCACAATAAAAGTAACTAGTTACTAGCAACTATTGCGTTACTTTTGCGTTTCTCGCCCCCATAACCCTCACCACCCAGCCCCCACCTTCTCGCCGTCTGTTTCTAAAGCCAGCTGAATAGAGCGGACGACAAAGACAAGAACCTGCAGAGAGTTTTGCATTTATTGCAACTCGACGTAAATGACATCAGGGGGGAACACTATCTGACGGGCCTATAAACCTGTCAGATAGTGTTCCCCCTGCTTAACATGGGGGGAACGCTCTCTGATGAGGTGTAAATACCATCAGGCTGCATTACCTCTGCTCATGGGTGTGAAGTTTTTTAACAGGGCATTCAGATCTGGTGAGTGAATGAAATTAATAACTGGGGATGTCTAATTCTGAAATCCTGTGTGTTTGGGTTGTTATAGATACTGCAACATCCATCCATCCATCCATCCATCCATCCATCCATCCATCCATCCATATTTCTCCCTTTCTCCATATAGGCTATCATTTGATCGTTCACGCTCTCCATAGTTCTCCTGTGGCGCGAGCACAGGGTGGCTGTTGCGCGCCTTTAGCGAGCATGCGCGTTTCCTGTCACTTGCGCGGTGAATCGTGCCGCCTGCGCTGTGAGGAGATGCAGGGGAAACCGTATGTGATAGGGAAACGCAGCTCGAAGTAACACCGGTATTTCCATGTGGAAAACGCTGTTTTGCTGCTGGAGTCCTCCTCACTCTCCATCTCTCTGTGTGTGCTGTACGTTTACACACCCGCCAGCGTAAACACCCACCTACCCAACTGACAGACGGAATCTCACTATACATCAGCCATTCTCATCCTCCCCTCTCTCATGACAAGGCGCGCACGAGTCCTATCATGAAAAAAAGGTTCATTGTGCGACCTGAGTAACACGCAGTAACGGGGTATCTGCAATGGTAACTGCGTTATAGTTACAGTCAAAGTAATTAGTTAGATTACTTGTTACTAAAAAAGGTAACAGCGTTAGTAACGCCGTTACTCCCATCACTGCATTTAGGGAAAATGATTTTAATGAAAGTCTGGACATCATTTTTGCCACATATTCTTACGTGAGTCTTGGTCTATACTTTGTCTGGGCCATTCTTAATGTGTAAAACTGCTGAAGTTAACCTTACCATTATAACTCTGGCTGTGTGGAGCGTAAAGGCTGATTTATACTCAGATATCAGGTCATCTGCGTGTTGGACGCAAATGTCACCCCACTGAATATTAACTACCTTCAGCCGAGGTTTTTATCTCTGATTAGATTGCCATTGACTGGTTGAGTGTTTCTATGAGCCATGAAAAAATGGAGACTTTAGAGACCCCAAGTTTCTAATGCCAGTTACTATTTTCAGAGTGCAAACCAGCTACAGTGAGAGCAATAGCATAATGTCTTTAATTAGACAGCAGAAAAGGTGCAACAGCAAGTGTCAGAAAACAAGTATTGAAAAAGCAAACTGCTTTTTATGTTCCTTTAACTTGCAAAGATCTGGCTTGTCCAAAACGTGTAGAACAGGGTGTTAGATTTGGCAGCAGCGGTTGTGTTATCGAGCATGAAAAAAAGAAAGAAAGTGAAATGAAAATTAAAGTCTCAAGATGAAAAAGTCGCCTTGTTAAAGCATAAAATCGCACTTAAAGGGTTGATGATGATTGTTCCTTTTTTCTTTTACTTCCAGAGATCGAAAAAATCCAGAGAGACGAGGGGAAGGAGGAGGAGAAGTTCATTGACGTCGTCATCAACAAGAACATGAAACTGGGCCAGAAAGTTTTAATACCAGTCAAGCAGTTTCCTAAAGTAAGTGAAATAGCAGCGCCACCAGAGACTCCTCCATGAAAGTGACATACAAAGACACTTTTTTTTTTTTTGGTGGGAAGGAGGATTGTGTTATATTTAGATAATGAAGCCAAGGCATGCAGGTCTGGGTTTGATTCCACTTCCTTCCAAACAGCAACTTGACACTTTCTGATGATATATTTTATTTCATTAGATGTAGCACGCCTGCAACAGCGTTGGGGCTGACAGAACTGGGGTAGAACCATGTTAGGATGTTACCTCCTGTCTGAAGATTTGCAGACAACTTTAAAGCCGTCAGATCATGTTCATTCAAGACGCTTTTCTGATGCGCTGACCTTGGGCAAGGACTCTTTGCTCATTTTAACGTCTGCTTGTGAATTCCTGCTACTAAAGAACAAGATTCAAATGAGTTATTTCCTTGTAGATTTTTAAAAGAAATTTGAAACCATTTTTTGTATAAAAAATGTTGCTAAAAAATAAAAAATAAAATTCCTCCAACACAGTTTTCTACAAGTAGTGGGTTACTAATGTTCTGTTAACAACAGGAAAGCATTTCGAGGGACACCACCGACTTGAGTGAGAGCACTTTACGCCTCACTCACCTTGCATAGCATTCACTGAAGTTCTTTGGGCCCACAAGCTCATTGCATGACAGGGATGTCCCAGTGGGAGCACGATGGGAAGGCTGGTGTAAAACTGAGAGGGCTCCTCTTAGACAGGGGACATCACTCAAGTTTTCACCTCAGTTCTCTAAGGGGGCCAGCAGCAGTAGCCTGCAGTATCTCCGTGAATTGGAAGAAGGGGGAAAACAATACACACAGATCTACTCCAAAAAAAATGTCCAAGTAGCTTCAGGTAAGGTTTCTACAAAACAAAAGAGATCCTCTCTTCATTATGACTGAAATAAGATTCAGAACAAAACTATACCACCATCTAGCCACTGTTTATTGGCCAGATGTTTAGACATAGGGGAAGCTAAGCTGTCGCTCTATCCTCTCTTTTTTGTGGATTTGTGTTGAATAGCAAGCAAAATTTCTGGAAAGGTCAAAGTATTAAGTAGCATGAATTCAATTCAATTCAGTTAATTTCTATAGCGCAAATTCACAACACGTGTCACCTCAAGGCACTTTACAGTTCACCAGATCATACAGTCAGATTGATTCAAAGTTTTCTATCTAAGGAAAACCAGTTGATTGCATCGACTCATTGACTCAAATACATCTCTCACACTAAGCATGCTTGTAGTGACAGTGGAGAGGAAAAACTCCCTTTTAACAGGAAGAAACCTCCAGCAGAACCAGGCTCAGTGTGAGCGGCCATCTGCTGAGGCCGACTGGGGTTCAAGGAGACAGAAGCAGAGATACAAAAAGCAGCTGTAAAAGGTTTCCCCGTCCAGGAAGCACACAGCCAGGCAGACGAGCTCCGAGTCAGCTCCCATGCCAGAGAACGAAGAGAGCACATCCAGCCAGTCACAGTCTGAGAAACAGGACTACACTGAAAAACAGGCCAAGCTCCAACATCTATAAACAAATGTGTTGATGGCAGCAGCACAGCTGATATTTCTCTCCAAGATGGAGTCCCAGCCAAACAGGAATAGACCAGATGAAGCTACTATGAGAAAAAGCAGAGAGAGCAGAACGTTAGAGATTGAACTAACAGATCGTGCAGAGTGGGAGAATAGAGGGAGAATGAAGCAGAATAATGAAATAGGGGTCCCTAAGTCCTCCACCAGTCTAAGCCTATAGCAGCTTACCTTTACTCAGCTATGTCTTAACTATAGAGATAGCTCAGGATAACCTGAGCCTCTCTAACTATAAACTTTATCAAAAAGGAAAGTTTTAAGCCTATCCTTAAAAATGGACAGGGTGTCTGCCTCACAGACTAAAACTGGCGGCCCCATCCAGGAAATACGCAGCCAGGCAGACGAGCTCCGAGCCAGCTCCCATGTCAGAGGATGAAGAGAGCACATCCAGCCAGTAACGGTCAGAGAAACAGGACCGCACTGGAAAACAGGCCGTTCTCCAGCATCTATAAACACCTTGAGATCACAAATTTTAAACATCCATTTTTAAAAATGAGGTGTCCTCCTGCCCAGACTGGTATTTATAAGATGCAATGCTGAAATTATCGCTAACATAAGATCAAGGATCTCTGTTGTTCCTGTAATTTCACCTGAGGGATCCCTATGACAGAGAATATTTTTAGAATAATACATTTAGGATGAACAGCTTTCTTTGCTATTGGCTGTTTATTCTCTGGGGTTCAACACCATTGTGGAGCTCAAATTAATTGTCCGAGCTAATCCTGACGAGCCATGGCTATTGCGCGCCACGCAGTGTTATCCGCGGCTGATCTGGGTCTCCTAGGTTCACAGCTAACCCGATTTGCTTTGACAGCTTTGATAAGTAGGGCCACTAATACGCTGTTTAGAGCTTCAACAGGCCACCGAAGGAAGACAAATTCAATTTGTTACTTCTGACAGGTAGCAGTGGGAAGAGGGATAGGTCTGACTTGAATGGGTTTTTCTCCTGAGCTGCGAGCATCACCTCTTGGCTTCTGGCATTGAAGTGGCGCTGGCATTTTCCAAACAACCATTTAGAAGAAGTTAAATCAATCCTCTAGAAGCATGACTGGTTATCAAATATGAAGCAGGCAAGGACGCTGTGTATTCAGTCCCAGGTTGCTGCTGACTGTTGGATAAAATACATGTGATTTCTTTTTTTTAAATAATTTTTTTCTTTAGATTTCGATGTTTTCAGTATTTTTCTTTCTCTCTCTTTTTAACTCCTCTCTCATCCTTCCTATTTTCCTAATAGTTGGTCAATCAGTATTTTTTTTTTTTTCAGAACCTTGGAAACATTAGATCAGTGGTCACCAATTAAAAATCATCAGGGTAGGAATACAGAAAATCAGCCACCAGTAAAGGTCCGGAGACATTTTTAATTATAATCCGTTACCTTACGTAAACGTGAATTGTCTACGCCATACTGCAATGTTGGATTCAGAAAAAGATGTTGAAATGTCTGAAAGATCGGACACAGGCGAGAGCGTATCGAGAGATGGAGACCAACAAGTCCTCCCTCATCCTTGGTCCTAACTCAAAGAATTTTTACAAATAGTCTAATAATTGAGCTTTCAGTTCATATAGTGGCATCTGGCTATTTTTTAAAAGGTTACTTTATACTTTAAGTAGTTTTTGGAGCACATACTTTTTCACTTTTACTTGAGTAAAGAGGTCAAGTTGAAACTTCAACTTTTACCAGTTTTTTTTTTAAATGCAGTATCTATACTTCTACTTAAGTAACAAATGTGTGAACTTTTGACACCAGAGTTGCCCAATATTGAAGCCTGGTCTGCGCTTTGTTATTCCACGCCACAGTGCAAGAGGAACAATCAGGAACTAGCTGTGGGTCTAGATACGCCAGAGGCGGTGAGAAAGTGGGGGCAAGTTTGTGCGACAACGGAGGGACATGAGGGCGAAACTAAGAGGGGATCCAGGTGGAAATAGGGTCCCAGCGTTCTCACGCACCTCGCTCTTCTAGCTGGTCCATCTTCACAAGTCGTTTTCCACAATGGAGGTCATACAAACAAACCGAGCCGGTAAGGTACCAAACAGGAAATACGCATAGAGTATAGCGGATGTAGATCTGACCAATCAGAGGCCTCCTGTCTGCGGCACTATCTGCAGTCACCTACAATTTTCAAGAGGTGTAGCAGAGTGTGCAGATGACCTGGTTTCTGAGTATAAACCAGCCTTAAAACAGTTACTAAGTCATGCTGGAATATTAATTGAAACATTATTTTGAATTGTATTAATTACATTTTGATGAATCTACATATAAGCAATTTTTTACTGAATAGAAGAGCAAAACTAACTTTTTAAAATATTTCAACTTATTTAATTTCACCTATAATACGTTAATCATCTTGAGTTTTAATGTTAAAGAACTTAGAACCTCTTGCCTTTCTATGGCGTATTTGGATCTGCTGTCCTCTCTTCTAAAGAGGTGCCTTTTGGCTGAAGGCTATTCAAGATGCACCAGAGGTCCCATCAGTTTATTTCCGGTTCAGAATTTTGCTCCTCTCTGCCCTCAGAGTGGTGATTTATCTTTCTGCCGTCATTCTGGTGCTGCTGTCCTCAGCACAATCACTCTCTATGTGAGCACCTTCCTGGAGAGACGCAGAATTATGCACCGCGAATGACGAGAAGATGTCAGACGAGCCCCTTCGCTTCCTCTGCAACTGGCCCTATTCAAATTAAATCTGAGTCATGATGCACTTTTTTATGTTTGGCTTTTATTTTGTAGCGATCTACTGCAATATATTTTCTTTAAGTGACTTTATTCCTGCATTTCATTTGCATCTGTGTGTTTTTTCATGAAGGAGCAGCAGGAGACAACCTGTAAATAAACACATCCGCTTATATTTTTGGTGATTACAGAAACCACAATCCTATCACATAGAAAAAAAAAATCCCAGGCAGGTTTTAGTGAATCACATAATCCCTCATGATAACGTAAGCATGAGCAAAAACCTAACGCATCAATCACAGTAGATTCTGAACGCTGATAAAAAGGCAGGGATTACAGTTCTTTGTTGAAAAAGACTGATGCGTTCGGGGGATTGTCCGTAGAACAAGGTGTGTGTATGTACTGACTCACCGGTGATGTGTTCAGGCGCTCAGATTAAGCCTGTTCTCTGACATTTACTGGCATTAATCAAATAAATGCAGAGCAAATCTGCATGATCTCTTTTTAAATAGTCGGGAACTGAAAGAAGCTCTTGGCAAATATTATCTCACCATGTCACTAAATTATCAGTAAAACAAATGTAATATTAAAGGGAATCTGTTGCCGTGGGGGATTTAACGCTTTGAAGGCTCCCTGTGGAAAGGAAATAGCTGTGAACTGAATAGTCATCCCTTTTCTACAGTCTCCATAAACTGGAGCCAATTTAACACTTTGTCCTCTGTGCCTTTAGGTGTTTGCAATGCAGTAACT